GAATAATCAAGCTAATGGATAAATTTCAGGGTCCGAGGGGTTTTTCCGGCCCAAGAGGCATGCCGGGACTGCCTGGCAACCCGGGAATACCTGGAAGCGAGGGACCTGTAGGAAGCAAAGGACAGCAGGGACCCAGCGGACAACCAGGAGCGCCGGGTCAGACAGGATCACCGGGCCCAGTGGGTCCACATGGACCGCAGGGGCCTTTGGGGCCACCTGGAATTGCCGTAATATTTTCTAATTCCAGAATTAAAATGCGTTTAACTACATAAACAAATCGAATATTGAAATATCAATGCTTTGGTACTAAATTTCTTGTGCATTTATACTGATTTGGCAATAATCGATCTAACTTTATTTGAATGCCATTGAAAGAAAGAGCTAAGTGGGTTCGATGTCATCAGCATGGGTAATAATAGGGCTGAACGTGTATTGACATCGCATCCAGATGTTAACAACACCTCAGTTGGGAATTAAATATCGATTTGTAGCCCGAGAGTTCTTAGACTAGCGTGGTGACTAGCATTGGTGAATGAATCGTTTTCAAGCTACATATAAGGTGGTTTCTGAGCGTAAACTGGGGAACAATTTATCTTTAAAATTTATGCTAAATGTTCGAGCTTTTGTGTGGGGAAAATTTCATCTCTTGCGAAATTGGTTCAGCAGTAGATCTCGAGAGCAATCTAGGTCAATTAAAAAAATAGAGACCCAATTTTCAGATTATGATATTTCGTAAAGCGAGACTTTACTTACTTTGCTAAACTCAAGAGAACTAACTGAACAACTTTGGAAACAAGATTCTTAGCTGTATATCCAGTTATTATTAACTCAATAATATCTCTCGACGGTTTAATAGCATGCAAAAGCAAGAAAGCAAGTTTTCTCATCAACTTCTGAACATTCTTAATCCTGTAATATAAGTTGTACATGCCAAGTACTTTAATTAAAAGCAAGCCATTTCGAACTAACTAACTTAGAATATACAATCCTTGATTGTTTGCATATGGAACATAGCAATGTCCCAACCATAATAGTATACATTTAAAGTAAGACATTTTCGTAGGACACATTTCGATTTCATGAAATTAAAGCCTCAGAATCAAGCATCTACCGAAAAGATATTTGTATTTTCTGCTATTAAGAAAATGCCGTAGTAGGCAATTGAAAAAAAAATACAACTATACTGGATGTATTGGAAACGTTCACTTGTGACCAGATGACTGCTACATGACTCATGGACATGAATAAACGTTTTATATTTTAGGGGCCTCCAGGGAAGCAGGGAATACCAGGCTTAACAGGCGCCGAAGGCTTACCAGGGATTTCCGGAAAACCAGGAACTGTTGGGTCAAAAGGGGAAATGGGGTTGCCCGGTCCACAAGGTTCAATTGGGTTTCCTGGATCACGAGGCATTAAAGGTATATCATAACTGTTCACATTTACAATTAACTCCTCACCGATCATTGATATTGTGGAAAAGGCGACGAGGGAAAACGTGGAACCGGAGGCGAACGGGGCGACAAGGGTGACCGCGGATTAGACGGAGAGAAAGGAGATAACGGACCCAAAGGGGATGTGGGTCCGCAAGGAGTACAAGGAGCAGCAGGTTTAGAAGGACCTGAAGGCCCCAAAGTGAGTTAAATGCCACTACAGCTCCAAATCCACTCATGCCACCCTGTGTGAAGGGTTTTGACGGGCCAAGAGGGGAAACCGGCCAAATTGGCTCCCCAGGAGAGAAAGGAAAAGAAGGTCTCCGAGGATTTCCGGGATACTCGGGAGCAGCCGGTGACAAAGGCGAGAAAGGAGCTTCTGGAAAGCATGGGTCGCCTGGTGAAAAAGGCGAAAGGGTATGAATAGGCTGACTAACTCATACTGAACGAATAACGAATCGTTATGATAGGGAAATCCTGGTCAGCCTGGAGAGCGGGGCGAATCGGGACCTCGAGGCTTCCGAGGTATGCGAGGTCGTCGTGGGCAAGAAGGCCAGCCAGGACCTAAAGGCGATACCGGCCAGCCTGGACCTCCTGGTCCTCAGGGCGAAGTGGGACCTTCCGGAAACGAAGGCGTCCGAGGATTTACTGGAGCTGTTGGGCCACCCGGGAATAATGGAAAAGATGGCGCCACAGGTCCTCCAGGAGAACGAGGACCACCGGTAGTTTGGTTTTTTAGTTTAGTCTACTTTCTTTGGGATTTTTTAAAACTATTGGCACAGCTTTAGTATAGCTACGAGTACTTATATCATGATATTGTACCGTGGATGACCGAGTATTAACTCTTTCTTCTGCTTCCAACTTTTATTCCACTCGGTACAACTTTAACTACGGAACAGGAACAAACTAACTTCTAAAATTAATGTCAACTTCACAAACGATAACAATAACAC